AGTGATCTGTGGGATGAGTTCTTTAGAGACGTCATCATAAAAAAAAATTAATTCTAAATTATTTATAAGTTTAATAGTTAATTAAATTATTAATGATATTGATTTAAAAATTTACTCTTTAATTTTTTTCTATAGACAACATTTTTTTCATGCATTTTATCCCTTCAAATATCAGCATCTCTTGGCCTCCCGTTATTTTCATCCATTTATGTTGATTTTTTTTAACATTAAAAAACAAATATGTGAAATGCAATTATGTGCAAAATAAATTATTTATGCACATTTATATATTTTTTAATTATTTTATAAATTTTTCACTTGCCTCTCAAAGAATTAAGGTTGGTTTCGCTCCTGTAATTATTTATTTATTTTTTATTAAATTTTGGCATATTTATGTTTAGTTTTTGTCAATATTTAGAGGACTAAAAAAACTCTAAAAAAATATTTAATTATTTAAAGTTAACAAACTAGAAAGATTTTTCTTTCTTTTTCTTTTCCTCTTATTATATAGTATTTTAGAATAATATGACATTAAGGTTTCATTTTGAATGATTTTTTTTTAACTGGTTTTTTATATAAAAATTATCCCAAATGAAATGTAAAGTGAACTACCAAGCCTAATAGGCCAAGATTTCTGATAAAAAAGTAGACTGGATATTAAAATTTAGCCGTTTTTATGTGAGTTTTTATTTGGTCCGGTGCAAGGACCTAGAGGAAGGTTCGGTTTTGCCTAAAAAAGTGCAAATACCGAGTTTTTTGAAAAAATACCGAGTTTTTCAAAAAACTCGGTATTTGCACTTTTTACCTATTTTTGGCTAAAACCGAACCTTCCTCTACATCCAGTGAAAGGACCTAATAATTGCTCCTTAATATATTCAGTGAAATTAGTTTATTATGTTAATTTATTTTTTTATTAGATTATAGAATATAAATATAATACTATTTTGATTAAATAAAACACAAACATACACCTATACCTATTTAAAAGATTAATTCATATGTTCATTTTAAATATTAAGAAAGCCCATTGCTTTTTATTTTTAATGAATTTTTTAATAATTAACAAAAGCAATTTAAATTAGATATTTTCGATGAGTTATATGGCTCTTGCATTTTTTTAATTTATATTCATCTATATAATAAATTCTATAACTCTCAAGTGCCTAACTCAAATCTATAAATAGGAGTCAAAGAAAGGAGAAATTATTTTGTGCGATCACCAAACGATTAGAGGCAAATTAGAACTCGTCACATCACTCGGTACCGAACAATACACAACAAAAAATCACATTACTCGTTCTCATTCATCTTTGGAAACCGTTCAATGACCGTATAGTAATTTCTCCAAAGAAAGAGCTCAATTTAAAAAATTCTATATTCAAATTTATTTTATATAACTCAGAGAGTTTTCATCTCTCTCACACACACATACACACACGCGCACACACGCACGCACACACACAAATCATATATTTCATCTAGACTATTTGTTATATGCAGCATAAATAAAAATCATTTTTTTTTCCATTTTTGATAATATCACAAATACTAAATTAATTACATTATTCACACTTAATAATGTCATGGAACTATATGATCATGGAAATAAAGCCCCAACTTGATTATATGAATTGTCATTGCACAGATAAAAATTGAAAATTCCATCGATATCAATCACTTATATCAAATAGTTTGGAACATATATGATAATAATTTCATTCAAGTCAGAATCCATAACAAACACATCTTAGTGCTATATATAACACTCATATATTTCATTCTTACCACCCATACCATCTTATAAAATTTAATATTTCATTTGATATGCCCATATTTATTCTATAGTTGATAAGCATGTAATATTAAAGTTTTAGATGTTAGATATGTAAATAGCATGAAATAAAATGGTATGTATGTACTACTACTACTCAACAACAACAAGCCTTTATCCCACTGTGGGATCGACTACATGAATCTTTTTTCTCTGTTGTGTTCTGTTAAGAACCATATTATCATCTAAAAGAAATCATAATTAAGTGTGTATAGGATCGCTATAGTTTTTTATAAAGATGCTTATAAAGCTAGTATAGATAATATTTTTTAAAGATGTTAAAGAAAAAACTTTTTAAAACAAAATTTATTTTAAAATAAGAAAAAAATAATGGTCAAGCATAAACTACAAGCAATTTAAAAAAATAGAATAATATGAAATTTATCCTAAATGAAATAAAAAATAATATTTATTGTGATAAACTTAAATTTTAGACTGAGCCTAATAATGGCTGATGAATCAATAAATTATAGCAAACGTTACTTTGCTGATTCCTAATCATAAAATGATTGAGAGTTTTCCTGGGAAGAAGGGTAGCTTTGATGGAAAACAATAAATGAGAATGGCGCAAAAAAACCCAATTAGACTCTGGGCAAATTATTACGTCTGGACACTAATTCAGACGCGGCACGTCATCAAAATACACCGGATCCCAATGTATTTGGGTGACGTGGCGCATCTGGATTGGATGTCCGGACGTCCGGCAACTAAACGTAATAATTCGCCTAGACTCTGAAGGGTAGCACAATAAGGTAGCAAAACATTGAAAGTAGGACTGACATGATTGATGGATGACAAAACAAGAATCTAAGCACTAGGCCCTGGTTTGCAAATTAATTTTGAAATTCTAGAATTTGGGCAAAAGTTGTTTCTTTAGAACTTTGACATGTTCCTCTGGTAAAAGATGATATAAATTTTGCCTAGAGTAAGAATTCAATGTTGAAAATGAGATCCAATCTGCTCATAAAGTAGGTAATAAGATAAAACTAATGAATAATAGACTAAAGCTTCGTTTGGGACGGCTTTTTTACTGCTTTCTAAAACGGAGTTTTAATACAAAAATAAAAAATTTTGTACTAAAACTCCGTTTTAGAAAGCAATAAAAAAGCCGTCCCAAACGAAGCCTAAATCGTGTACAGCTTTTCAACGCAATGATTCATCAATTTTTCATAGTGGTCAACTAAAAGGTTATGCTAGAAATATGTTTCTTGTCAAAGAGGGCATTAGAAAAAAATTGCTTTACTTTGCAATTTTAATTAAATTTCTTGAAAGTTCTTTTTTGTTGATTGGAAAATCAAGGAATCATGAACAAAAACAAAGACAACAGGCTATGTGGCCAGATGAATCTTGATACATTGTTCTTAAAGAGTCCAACTAGAAGAGCTCAAGCAGATCAGCAGCTACAGTTGATAGGGCTTATGCTACAGCTTTGGTTTAAAGTCAGATTCAAATATAGTTCAATTGTTTTGCACTAAACCTACATCGGATTTGTTTAAAGTCAGATTCAAAGAGTGGATCAAGGCCGTTCATCAGTTTCTTCGAACACTAAAACATAATATGGCGCAAGCATTTTTACCTCTTAAATAGCTAGGGTGTTTTTGACAAGAACATGCATTAAAAATGAAATTGAACTATTACAAGATTAAATATTGTTTTCACGTGTTTTATGAAATGATATAAAGAAGTTACCTGGCTCTCCTTTGTTGCACAAGTAATTACAGATGAAACATTCGGATTTGAAGCACACCAAGCAATAGCTAGTTGAGCTAATGTAACACCAATAGGCTTCAATCCATTGACTTTGCCCAGCACGTCATCAACAATAGATCTATTAGCAAGATTCTGTGGAACATTATCATGGTTAGATAACAGGAATATGTTAGACCGGTCCACTGGACCGGCCCAGCCATAACGAGGCGGAAATTCCGCCTCCCGTTTCCGCACGCACGCCCGAATAGGAAGGTTTTTGAATGGATTTTAGGAGGCAAATTGATTGTAGGGATTGTTTAGGGAATTCCTTTTGATTTGTATGCATTAAATAGTTGATTTTCTGAGGGTTTGGGCATCTTGAATTTGGCTGAAATTTGAGATCTCTTAGATTTAGGTTTTCTTTGGGCTCTAGCGGCGTCTAGAGATTTGGGAGATCATCTCGAATTCAGGATCAATTGTATCTTTTCTATTATGTTGCATCTATTAGAAAAATACAAGTCTTTTCTCCACGGTTTTCGGCGACCATGGCGTAGGAGGAAATCCGAACCTGCTTCGGGGGAGGAGGAATCCGGCAGTAGAGATCCTTGAGGGAGAGGACGACATGCCACCTCTAGAGCCACTTTCTAGAGAGGAGATGAGCATGGGAAATGATCGAAGAGGTGCTGATTTTGGCGGTAGAAGAGAGGAATTCTAACGTCGAGGTGCTGAATTTCAGCTTCGATGTGCGAAATTTGAAGGTAGGAGTGAAGTTCTCACTCTCCTTTTTTTAAATCTTTTGATATATTAAACTGGAAACATGTACAACATCTTGCCCATAAAAAATAAACAGCTTCTGAAACGCCCACCAAAATCTTTGTAATTTCTTTATACGCATTCCTAAAACCACCTTCCAAATCCACAAAACAAATCACCCACAAGTTATCTTTCATATAAAAACTTACCTTATTGGATTGATTCACTTCCGTTTGTTCTATTTTTCATTTGATACCATCAACATTGAAGGAGATAGCTTCTTCGAGAGAGGTAACAAGAAAGAAGCTGATAGGAAGTAATTGAGTTTGCAAGTAACCCCAAGGGTAATATTTGAGTTCGCAAGCAAACCTAACAAGAATTGGTGAAAAACAGTGGAGATAACTGTTGTTTACAGCAATCAAACAGTGAATTAGAGCAGTTTTACTTAGGAAAACAGAGAACTGAGAGAAACAACGAAGAAATCCACTGATACAAGTTTCTTCAATTCGAGAGGAAGAAACAACTCTCCAAATCTCTAGCCAAGCCTACAGCCCCAAAGAGCAAACCCTAGATCTCAAATTTGATTTCAAACTCAAGATGTCCAAACCCTAGCCTTCCTCGGACTAATTAAAGCCAAAGCAAGCTTGTAAAATCCCTAAACAGCCCCTAATTTAAATTTCCCCTCCTAAACACTATAATTAAGTCATGGACCCCACTAGGGCTTCCCTTGGAATGTGTTCGGATGTTCGTGGCATCACAAACCTCACCTGATGCAACAACCTATCCCCCTCAAGATAGTATCCCGAATAGCTACTATTATCTTTCATCAAATCTTCCTTGATCTTCCTCAACTCTTCGTTCAACATGCTTTCTTCCTTGATGCCCCCACCCCCCCCCCCCCCCCAGTCAACCATCAGTGATACTGAAACTGCCAACTCTTGAAGTTCCCCAACACATCCGGATAAGGCGTCGGCCGCTTTATTTTCCACCCCCGACCGGTACTGAATATCAAAATCATAGCCTAAACGTTTTGAAAACCACCTCTGATGTTCATCAATCACCATCCTTTGCTATAACAGGTACTTCAAGCTCCTCTGATCCGTGCGAACAATGAAATGCCTTCCCAAAAGGTAAGGACGCCATTTCTGAATGGCCAAGAAAATGGCCATCAACTCTCTCTCGTACACTTACTTCAATCGAGCCCTGATTGACAGCACCTGACTGAAGTATGTTATAGGTCTGTGATTATGCATCAACACTGCCCCAAAAACATATCATAACGCATCGGTTTCCACCACAAAGATCTAGTTGAAATCTGGAAGAGCTAACACTAGAACTATCGTCATGGCTTTCTTCAACCTCTCAAAAGCCTAGGTTGCTTCCTCTCCCCATAAAAATTTGTCCTTCTTCAGTTGTTTAGTCAACGACCAAGCAATGGTTTTGTACCCCCTCACAAATCTCCTGTAGTAGCCAATCAATCCTAGAAAACCCTCAACTCCCTTATGTTCCTAGGCCATTTCTGCATTGCCTCAATTTTGTCTAATCGGCTGCCACTCCCTCCTAAGACATTACACGTCCCAAATACTCCACCTTAGACTGGGTGAAGCTGCACTTCTTTAAGTTGGCCCTCAGTTGATGTGCCAATAGAATTTTAAGAACCTCCTCCAAGTTCTCCAGATGCTCCTCTATTTTGTTATACACTCAAATATGTCATCAAAAAATACCAGCACAAACTTCCTGAGATGCTGTCGGAACACCATATTCATCAAGATTGGAAAGTAGCAGGGGCATTAATGAGCCCAAATGCCAACACCAAGAACTCGTACTGCCCCTCGTGCGTCCTGAAGGCTGTCTTCTGAAGATCCTCCTCCATCCTAATTTGATGGTAGCTCGACTTCAAGTCCATCTTAGAAAACACTACTGTTCCATACAGCTCATCTAATAACTCATCAATCACCGAAATGGGGAATTTATCCGATAACGTCTCCTTGTTCAACGCTTTGTAATCCATGCAAAACCTCCAACTCTCATCCTTCCTTTTGACCAATAAAATTGACTAGAGAAAGGACTCACTTGGTTTGACAATCCTGCCTCCAACATCTCCCAAATCAGTTGCTCTATTTCATCTTTCAGAATTTGAGGGAAGCGATAAGGTCGAACACTAACTAGCGACACCCCATCCTTCAGAAGGATTGCATGCTCTTGCTCTCTGGGTGGTGGTAAGCCCTGAGGTGGCTAGAACACCTCAATAAACTGTTGTATAAGTGGTTGTATAGCCATGGGAATGTCTTCCTCTTCACCCACACTGACCCTCTCTAAGCATTGCAGCGCCACCAAATACCCACCTCCCACCTCATGTATGGATCTGATAATGGATTTGAGAGATACTCCGTCCATGGATAGCCTTACATTGCCCTGGATCATCATCCTCTTCCCTCCCACCATCAGTTCCATCCTCAGAGCACCCCAATTTAGCTTCGATCCCCCAAGATCTGCAGTCATTTCATCACCAGTCATTTCATCACCAGGATGACATCAGTAGTTCCCAACTCCAAGGGAAAAAAATCCTCCCTCACTTGTATCCCATGAATGGTCAACATCACTCCCTTGTAAACTCCTCTACCCATCTCCACCTTTTAATTGGACACGACAAAGCCATATCTGACATGTATCTGTATCTGACACGTGTCCGATACAGCATGCCTCATAAATAGGCGTATCCATGCACGGCCATTTTCCTTCCCAAGATTTCCGAGAAGTTCTTGCATACAAAATTTCCTTGTTGAAATTTCTGGATTTCAGCCGCCGATAGTCCCAAGACAACGCTCTGATACCAATTTGATAGCTTGAGTTCGCAAGCAAACCTAGCAAGAATTGGTGGAAAACAAAAAAAATAGTTACCCTGCATTCACTAACTAAACAAAAAAAAATACCCTGCATTCACTTTACAAACAACCAAACAGCCTCATGGATTGATTTTACACTACATTTACTTTACACTGCATTCGTTTATAGCCAACCAAACAACCCATTAATTGAATATATCCTTTTTTGTAAGGTATCCTAAACTTCTACTTCTTATATATGGTGCCATGAAATAAAGAGAGAAAGAGGAGGCCAAAATCTTCATGATCCTTCTTTCTAAATTTCACCTGAGCTCATTTCGAAAAGGGAATGGTTTCATGTTGATTAAAATTCTTGTTGAATGCTCCTTACTTGATAAAGAAGACAAATAACAAAATCTTTTCTTTATTATTTTTTATAACAATATAAAAAAATTTCTTTTTATATTTGGATGATGGTGATGAATAGTTGATTATTTCCACATATGATAGTAATGATGATGCCAATTAACTTTCTTCAACATGTTCATGTTTATGATTGTAAAATATTTTTCTTTTCATATTTGTATGCTAATAATTATAGCTTCATTTTCTTACATAAATGAAACAAGATTATTTTGTATAGTCAAATTATAATTGATCTTTTACAAATTTGAATGATGTTCATAATATAAATCATTCTTCTATCAAACTAAGGTGATAATGATCATAACAACATGATAATTTTCAAATTTGGAGAGTTACTATGATAGGATATACTTGGTTTCGCAAGTAACCCTAACCCAAATCGGAGATCAAACAGTGAAAATATTGCTGTCCAGAACAGAAAACAGCAGAAATATGCTGTTTACAGCAGAAAAAAACCACTAATCCAGGGAAAATCTGAGAGAAAACTCAAAGAAAAGCTTGTAATCACTAGACGATGAATAAAATAGCAAGATACAATTGATCCTCAATTCGAGAGAAGGTTCGATCTCTCTCAAATCTCTAGACGCCACTAGAGCCCAAAGAAAACCTAAATCTAAGAGATCTCAAATTTCAGCCAAATACAAAATGCCCTAACCCTAGGAAAATCAACTATTTAATGCATACAAATCAAAAGGAAATCTCTAAACAGTCCCTACATTCAAATTTCCCTCTCAAAACCCTCAAAAATTCTTCCAAAAAGGCTCCATCAGCTCATGCGGCATCCGCTATAGGCGGAAAAAACACTCTGCTTCGCCCGCAAGCCGGTCCCGCCTGGACCGGCTAGACCCGTCCAGTGGACCGGTCTAACATACTATAAAAAGACAAGTTCTAAAATTTGCATGAAAATAACCATTCTTGTTCAACATCAATAGTTAAAATCATTTTACTTTGTAGTTTGTACTAACTCAATTTTTCACATGCAACAAGTCTAATGATAATGACCATGATGGAGTTGCTACAAAAAGACAAGTTCTAAAATTTGCATGAAAATAACCATTCTTGTTCAACATCAATAGTTAAAATCAATTTACTTTGTAGTTTGTACTAACTAAATTTTTAACATGCAACAAGTCTAATGATAATGATCATGATGACAATAATGAAAATGATCTGATGTTGGAAACAAGAGTAGTAAACTTGGATCCAATTGCAATCTTAGAATACAAGAAAAATACAGCAAACAAATAGCATGTCTTTTACTACATTAAGTTATTACCCACAAAAGTGGTTGACACTAGATACTTGTAAATTTGTAAGGATTTGTGAAGAATGGACTTATATAAGAATGAATGAAAATGAGGATTCCAAAAGCCAGCCACAAATAGCTAAAATGAGGCCAATGAGAATGATGATAAGGGTTTGATGCAAGAAAGACAAAAAATGAAGTTGAACCCAATAGAAATCCCAAAATACAATTAATAGCTTCTCATCTAATATATTGAGGTACCATCTACCATAAAGTTGATAATTTAAATTTTCAAAAAATAACCATATAATACATAAATCCTGAACCTGAACAAGTAAAACCATACAAATTTCCAGACGTTGATACTAAAAATTAAGCAATAGTGAGTAGAATTAACACATGACTGAAGCATCACTGACAATGGAAAAAAAAAAGAATCAACTGAATTTTACCTCAACGCTTGCAATGCCCTCTAGGTTTTGCACCTTCAAATCACCGACACCTTCTTTCCCCTAAAATAACAAAGTACATCATCTTAGACTTGTTCTCCAAGAAAACACAAGCATCAATTTTGAAAGGCTTCTCCTCAGATAAAAATTAAAAACCTCTAAAGCATTGCAGAGTTTTGGTATTGCAGTGTCGTCCATAGTTCCCTCAGCATTTGCAGAACCAGCATACAAAATAAATAATCATAGAAACCAAAATACACGATCAAAGAAAAGAAAATCACATATATGTAATAATTTGGGAGCGAAGTTAGAGAGTACCTTGAAGAACATTGTGAGCAAATCCGGGGGGAAGCTGGAACATTAATGGCTTGCTCTGTGGAGAGTGTCCGCTGCACTTTCGGCGTAGGCTCTGCTTCCAAAGCTAGTGCTTCCTCCTCCGCCACTGCCCTGACTATTCTTTTCAAAGCAGTCTTCTTCTGTAGAGACCGTCCATTGTTTTTTTTTTTAAATTAAAAATAAATCATGCAACAAATTTTATATCTATTTAAATATTTAGATATCCTAAACATTTCCCCATCTCTATTGGAAAATCATTATGATGGGGTCATCGATACGAGGTTTCGAAGTGTCTATCAAAGGCGACACAGGAGATCGATGGCCACGATGGAGAGTCTTTACTTTTGATGCATCTAATGTATTAGTTATTTTATTTTTCTCAATTTTCCGTTTTTGCCCTTATGGATAGTTGGTCACTATTGTAGCCCAAGGGGCATTCTAGTATTTTGTTTTATTTGTTATTGTGAGACCTATATATATGGTCATTCTCTTATGTATTGGATGAAAAATTATTGAATGAAAATTTTATCTTGTTTCTTCTTCTTGCATGAGAGCTAGAGAAGGGAGAGAGCTCAAAGGGAGCAAGTGCAAGGCCCACCAGTCGTCGGAAGAGTCCACGGCTTGTGGTATTTTCTTCTTCTTATTTCTATTCGATTTTTCTTCTCCTACTTTCATCCGCCTACCCGTCGGATCTTTCCCAAACCCAACCCCACCACATCCAAATCCACCACCACCCAAGCCAATGTCACCCGTCGGCAATCCCTTCCCTTCCCGTTTGACCGCCGGCCACCCCTCTTGCAACAACCCATTTTGAGGTTTGCCACATCTTAATGACTCTTAATTTGGGTACTAACATTAAGGGAGAAATTTGTGAATTTTGAAATTCAAATTTCAAATTTCAAAACTTTCCTTAATTGTGAAATCCAAATAAGGAAAGTTTCTCCTGGCAAATCCGTTTGAAATTTTAAATATGGAGTCATTATTTTTCCGACTTGTTGGCGTATCTCGTATGGAAGGAGCTTGAATTCCCCCCAAACCCCCTTCTTTCCCTCTCCATGCCGCCGGCCATGCATGGCTTCCCCCCCCCCCGCCGGCCATGCATGGTTTCCCCCCAAATAAACCACCAATCAATGCATTAATTACAAATTAATTTGAGATCAATTTCAAATTAGTTTTCCCACCAAATCCCCTCAAATCCTGAAATTAATTTCATGCTTTTGAATTAAACTCTCCTCCCTCTCTCTCCTATACCGCCGGCCCCATGTTTAAGCCCCTCTCTTTAATTCACATTCAATGCGTTAATTGCAATTGATTTGATTTTCAAATTGCAAATTTTATTCCCTCCAAAAGCCTCCAAAACTGAAATTAATTTCAGTTTTTTGGATTTAAACTCTCTCTACTAACCAAAGCCTAGCCCTCTCTCCCTTGGAAGCCATCGGCCCCCTTCTCCCTCTTCCTTGCTCTCAAGCCACAAGTGCTCTCCCTCGCCATCTCATACTAATGGTGTATGGCCGATCCCGAGGTTGATCACGGGCTCATTCTCAATTCTCGAGAAAGGGGACATCATCCGGATTTGGAGCCGAAGCCACCGTCAAGGAATAAGGGGACCGTATCTTTCCCCACGCAGCGGAATTCCTTGACTAACAAAGGTCACTTGAAGAGTGGAAGATCATTGGCCGACTCACCGTTTCTCCGTCCGCGGCTACCTCTCCACCACCGTCGACCTTTCCGTGGATTAAGACAATTGGCGTTGCGACCGTCCTCGTGACTTCGTTAGGTGTGCTGAAGACCTTTCTCCGCTAAACCATACTTTGAGTGTGAGTGAGCATGGTAACTCATAGTGAACTTTCTAAATATTAACCGTGGGATCGTATTACAACATATTTGTTTTTTCTGTGATAATTTCAAATCCATCTTAACTTGCCTTAAACTTCTGATTTATAACTGCTTACTACAATAAGATCGACAATTGAAAGTTCTCTAATCTACTCTTACGAAACCTCAATCTTAAGTAGCAAGCTTTGTAAACCTTTTAAATATTTCCGTGCAATTCTTGTTAGTATCACATCACATTAAGGTCACAATGTTTTTGCACATTTCATTTTATTGAAAGCGTCTGCAACTTCGATTTTATTAATGCGATAAAAATAAAAATCTCTAAAAATTTATTCAAAAATGATAAGTTAAACATCATATCATATTTTTAGGGATTTACATAAATAGCATTCAAAACAATATAATTTTCATAAAAATCATTTCTTTTTTTTTTTTCTTTTGAGAACTTGAATACAAACATAAATGTCATATCTGTGAGATGTTGCATCATAGTAAACTGCTAAACCCAGCAGTCATAACGAACAACAAGAGGGCATAGAGCCAATGACTCATATTCTCCTTTCCATTTCCATCATTAAGATCCATTTATTTATTCCTCACACCAACGCACAGAAGCAGCGGTTGCCCCACAATTCGCAAGGGCCTTCCAAGCTGCTCCGTGCCATTGCAAGAGAATAGCAAAGTAGCAATCTCACCCTTATATAGTGCGTGGCAAGATCTTCATGAATTTCCATAGACTTCCCCAATCATTTCTGGATTCAAGTAGGATTTAGTAAATCCTTCTGCTGCGCCATGGAATATTCATGTAGATAGAGAAATAAAAAGTGTAACATCTTCGCATTCAATTACAAATGAGGCCCTTCCTAGAGGGGAAGGCCTTGGTTTGATGTAGCAAATATAAATCATATAGAGTGCATTACATGATTGGAATTGGAAGAATCAGTATTCGCATGTTTGTATAGTCAGCAAAACCATAATCGGTGAGCGACCGAGGTCAGAAGAACCGTAGTCGACGGACAATAGTTGTAAGAAAGATTGATATATAGCGACGGAGGTTAGAAGGACCGTTGTTGGCAGGCGACGGAGATCAAGAGTACTTTGGGAGTGATTTGAATAGATAGCCAATATTGATCCCCTTGATCGTGGACCGTTTATTAGATATTTAAATGTCTTAATGATATCAGAATTCGGTAAACCTGGGCTCATTGGATTAGACTCGTTGAGCCGCACGATTCGATTACAAAAACATGTTACGTTAGGAAATCATTTGGTCATCAAATTTATGGTTTGAACCTTCCAAAGATGCTTTGAGTCTTCAATTTGGACTCATTTGGGCTTGAATCGAGTCGAATTTGATATCGTTGGGTTTGTCTTTTAGAGACATTCAGTTTGACTATAAGTTTGTTGAGAAAATATTTTGAATGGTCCCAATTTTAATTTCAAAAGTTCTCAACTTTATTTTGGCTCGAGATTCGTGCCCAAATAAGATTATTTTTTTAGGATATTTCACTAAATCATGTGTTAAATCCTGAAAATTAAATTTTTTTAGAAGAAAAATGTTACATCATGTTTAATCAAGTGAAATTGTTTGATGATGCAACTCATGATTTAAGTCAACTAATTCCCAGAAAACGCTAATCTAACTTAGGCTTCGTTTGTTTTTTTTGTGCTTTTGTAAAAAACAATTTTAAAAAACATTGGTTCTGAAAATGGAGTTTTCTAACGGAGAAGCATATATAAAAAGCTTTCTCAAAACTGCAGAAAAATGAAAAAAATGGAATTATTGGGAACGTGATTTGACGAACCAAACAACACCCAAAAAAAATTCTTCCATTTCCAAACGAAAAAGGCAAAAAAACGCTCAAACAAACAAAGCCTTAGTAAATCATGATAGACTATAATGACTACCCATACTTCATGTCTCCTAAACCTTGTAAATCCGCCAACTACCCAAATTTAATAAATACAATATTAATTTATTTGGTTAATATTAATTACTAGACCTAATTTATTTGTCTTATTTGCACAATTTCTGCTTCCGGAGCTAGGGTCCCCTTGCCCATCAAAATGTTTTTCTATTCAAAGCAGTCTTCTTTCTAAAAGATAGAAGCATAAACTGCTGTGGCTATTCTGTGGAGAAGAGGTGGAGAAAGGTAAAAAAGGAGTAAAGTCCTTCAAACCCAAACAAATCCTTTGGAGAATTAAGGGTTTAGAGCAGCTACGCACGGGCACGGCCGTTGCCAGGTTATCAACAGAAACACAGGAGAAAGCGATTATACTTAAAAAATGAGTTTTCTAAACTGAACTTGCTAAGCTTAACCCGAAACGTCAACATAGGAGAAAAATAAATAGAAATTCAAAGACAATAATTCACCTTTACTGTATAACAAAGCAGATCCACCAACCAATTATCCACAGCTACGCACGGGCACGGCCGTTGCCAGGTTATCAACAGAAACACAGGAGAAAGCGATTATACTTAAAAAATGAGTTTTCTGCAGAGAGCGAAGCATTTACTCATACTTACAAAGAGCATTGCAGTTTGGGGCTGCATCATCTCGTGATACCGGCATACAGACCACTTGACGGCTGACAAAAAAAAATGGTCTTAAATATATAAATATATATGAATTCACCCTCAGGATTTTACAGAATTGACTAAATCTTACTCAAGTTAAATCCAATCCGATACCAAAGAGCCCCTAAAAGTACCGACTTAGAGATGAGATTTATTTTGGGGTGAAGCATCGCTTCATCACTTAATGTATTTCTGCAGAGAACGGGAAAATCTGTTTCAGAAAAGGTGGGTAAAGAAAGTGAAAATTGGGGGCTCAGATTAGCCTTGTTTCCGTCCTCAAGCACCTGTTTTATAACAACGACGCACAGACGCGGCGGTTTCCATAGATTAGCGGGCCATCCAAGCGGCACCAGCACCACCGCAAGAGAAGCATTGCGATATCTGAAGCACCTTGGAAACATTCCTAATCAGGGTAAGATAGCTCTTCATGTTGGATTTCATCATCATCGCCCAATTATAGAGAGAGAGCGTGCATGATCATAGCTTTAGGCATAAAAAATCATCAGCATCGGAGATGGCAGACAGAAGAGACGAGCCACTCCATCCGCTCATATTTAGGCTTCGTTTGGAACATTATTCTTAGGACTTCGTAAAAAACATTAGAGCAGCTTGGGCCTGCGTTATCTTATGATACCAGAATATAGGTTCATACGAAGCTCACCTTGATCTGTGATGCATGTTCTTATGGGCTCATTTGCTTGCTTCAAAGCATGTTCCATAGAAAATTGAGTAAATTAAACGGGCTCAGATTCCCCTTTGTTCAATCATTTCGCAGATCAGCCCTCAGCCAGCTAGTTCTGTGCGAGTAACGCATGGATGGAGCGGTTGCCCATGCATGTACGGGCCATCCAAGCAACTCCATCGTCAATGAATAAGAATAGAGGATATTCCTGAAGCACCATAGAAAGGAATCCTGTTCTACTCTAGGTGGGCAAGATCATCATCTGTGAATGATTTAAATTTTTCATCATCATCGCCCAATGCATATATATATATATATATATATATAGAGAGAGAGAGAGAGAGAGAGAGAGAGAGAGAGATTTCAATTTTTCACCATCATCACCCAATGCACATAGAGAGAGGGATTAAGGAATTTGCAAAATAGAATATTTCTTAGTCAGGGCTGCCGTGGCTTGCGAAAAGAGAAACTTCGAGAAGTTGGATTAGGCATATTATTCTTCGGGAGTTTCAGCTAATTGTAAACCATATAGTAAGCATGGAATTATGGAGAAAAAAAGGATAAGGATATCCAGAAAGAATTTTTAATCAGTGAATTAGATGAGACGCACTACTGCTAAACCAAAAAATCTTAACTACCAAAAGGCTCAAATTCACATTTCCTCCTAAACCCAAAAATCCTAACTACCAAAAGGCTCAAATTCAAAATCCTAACTATAAAGCTATTCTTCATGTAAGAATATTAAGTTAAATGGATGGCACAAATCCATGAAAGCCCATCCTTGTACTGCTAAACCCAAAAATCCTAACTACCAAAAGGCTCAAATTCACATTTCCTCCATCACGAAGATAATACATCCGTTTATTCTTCACCATGGCACGCAGACACAGCGGTTGCAGATGCAAGGGCCCTCCAAGCTGCTCCGTGCCGATGAAAGAGAATAGCAGAGAACCATTCAAAACACTAAGGCTTCATTTGGGACAGCTTTCTTACTGCTTCTTAAAGTAACTTTCTAGTATAAAATTAAACCACAACCCTCAATAGAGTGATGGAACATTGCATTCCATGGTAAATGAGGACATCTGAAGGCTGCGTTTTATGTGACTAAACCATCTAATGCAACTCTCTCTAATATTATCTTCCACTTAAACTACTCCAACCTTTACACGTATATGCTCATTAAGGGTAAAGTCAATCATACACCTGAGCAACCTCATCTTTACAACACTTAACTTAATATTATGCTTCTCTTTTAAAGGCCAACATTCAGCACCATAAAACATTGCAAGTCTCACCACCATCTTATAGAATTTTCCCTAAAGTTTAAGGGGGACTTTTCTATTACACAACAAGCCCGACGCATTCCACCACTTTAACCATCCAACTTAAATTCTGCTGCTAATATCCCCATCTATTTCACCATCACTCTGAACAATAGATTCAATATATCTAAAACATGTACTCTTATTAATGATTTGATCGCCCAAAGTCACAATCCCCTCACTAGGTCTATTATTATTAAAATTACACTCCATATAATCAATTTTAGATCTACTCAAGCGAAAACCTTTAGACTCTAAGATTAACCTCCATGATATAAGTTTACCAAACTCTCTCTCGTCTTATCAACAAGATGACTATCACCTGAAAAAGGATACAACAAGTAACATCCTCTTGTAAATATCTAGTGAGAACATTCATGACTAAAGCAAAAAGATATGGGCTTAATGTTGATCTTTGATGTAATCCAACTGAAAAAGTAAAATACTTGGTCAACCAACTTGTGTTTGCACATAAGCAATAGCTCTTACATACATATATTTAATGCTTTGAATCCAGTTATCATGTTAACTGAACTTGCTAAGCTTAACCCGCAAACATCAACATAGGAGGAAAATAAATAGAGATTCAAACACAAGAATTCACCTTTACTGTATAACAAAGCAGATCCACCAACTAGTTATCCACAGCTACACACGGACACAGCCGATGCCAGGTTATCAACAGATACACAGGAGCAAGCGATGATACTTAAAAAAATAAGTATTCTGCTGTGAGTGAAGCATTTAGAATTTCATGGAAATGTTGAGGTGAGGATACCAAGTGGTCGAAGAAAAGAATCTTAAATAGGATAGAAAACATTTTTATCAAGAAATATCATATGCAAATGTATAGCTTCCAATATACTTCTTGATCAAACCTCTTAACAAATGTATAGCTTCCATAATAGACCAACCTTAAATGAATCAGTACTGCTTTTAGAAAATATTGGTATCTTTTCATAACCCATGATCAAGAAAGTGATAGGAAATACTTGATTTCAAGTATTTCCTATCACTTTAGCAACAAATCTCACAGCAAACTGCTGTCCACAGCAGGAAAACAGCCAAAAACAGTAGGAAAACAGGGAAAAACTGCAGAAAAAATGGAGAAAAGACTCGTATTTTACTAGTAGTTGCAAGGAAAATATCAAAGATACAAGGATCCTCTATTCGAGAGGAGGATCGCACTCTCCCAATCTCTAGAATTCGATCTAGAGCCCTAGCCACCAAAGAAGAACAAGAAATCTCTTACAAAATATGACCACCCTAGTCCCCTCTTTTCTCCCTACTTAATGCATACAATTCAAATCTAATACAAAAGGACCTAATTACCCTTGCTCCCCCTCCTTTTGGCTCCAAGATTCAATTCAAAATTCAAGTGGACCCCACCTAAATCCCCTCTTCCTACTTCCGCCGGCTCCTCCTAGCGTAACGAGCTGAGCCGGCCCAAGAGGCTGGGCCGGCTGGACCGGTCCTCCTTGGGCCGGTCTAACAGAAAGCTTCTTTAAAAAGCAATTAGAAAACCATCTCAAACAAAGCCTTACTCTCTCCCATAATTTTAATACGACACATCAATTTAATTCCTCTATAATTCACATACTCTTGTGCAACACCTTTATTCTTAAAATTAAGAACCAGCGCACTTTTTCTACACTATCTGACATCTTTTGACATCATAATAATATTTAAAAACTTAGTAAGCTCAAAAAATTCCTGATCTCCTAAGCATCCATATCTCTAGTGCAAAATCATTAGGTCACATTATGTTTCCACGCTTCATTTTCTAAAAGATTCTCCAACTTAGATTTTATTAATACGACGATTAAAATAAAAATCTTTAAAAATTTGTTCAAAAATGATATTTAAACATCATAACATATTTTTAGAGATTTACATACAAAGCATTCATAACGATCTAATTTTCATATCAATCACCAAACCTCACTACGTTCATAAAAATCTTTTTTTTTTCTCTATTGAGAACTTGAACACAAACAAAAATACCATATCTATGAGATGTTGCATCATAGTAAACTGCAAAAACAAACAGTCATAACGAACAACAAGAGGTCATAGAGGCAATGAATCAGATCTACTTTCCATAAGGAAGATCATTTATTTATTCCTCACACCAACACAGACGCAGCAGTTGCCCCACAATACGCATGGGCCTTCCAAGCTGCTCTGTGCCATTGCAAGAGAATAGCAAAGTAGCATCACGAAACAATCCCACCCTTATATAGTGAGGGGGAAGATCTTCATGAATTTCAAGACTTCCCCTGCATTAAAATCAACCAACCAAGGTGTTGTTTGGATTCGAGTAGGATTTAGTAAATCCTCTAAATCAAAATTTTACTAAATCATGTGCTTAAATCCTGAAAATTTTTTGAAAAGAAAGATGTCAAATCATGTTTAATCAAGTGAAATCGTTTGATGATGCAACTCAGGATTTAAGTCAAATAATTCACAGAAAACGCTAATCTAACTCGTAAATCATGATACAGCATACCGACTTCCCACACTTCATGTCTCCTAAACCTTGTAAATCCACCAACCTCTCAAATTTATTAAATCCAATATTAACTTATTTGGTTAATATTAATTATTAAACCAAATTTATTTGTATCTTATGAACATAATCGAAACTTATTAATTAATTCGATAACTAAAATTATACTTGTTATATAATAAATTAATACTAGTCTAAAGGTTTTCATTTGAGTAGATCAAAACTGAATATATGTAGTGTAATATTACTAGTAATAGATCTATTGAATGATTTGTGACTTTGGGCAATCTAAGTCATTAGTATGAGTACACATTTTATATATATTTGATCTATTATTCAGAGAGATGGTAAAATAGATGAGGATATTATTAGCATAATTCAAATTGTATGGTCGAAGTGAAGGAATGCATCAAACTTATGTAGGAAACTCTTGAAGATCTCAAGTATTTCCTATCAATCTTCGTAAAACAGCAATAATTCTGCACAAAAATCCACACTAAAACAAAAACAGTAGATAATTTGTAATATTTGATGAAATAGAAACAAAAAATACCAAGATACAATTGATCCTCTTTTCGAGAGGATCTTTCTCTCCCAAATCTCTAGACGCAGCTAGAGCCCAAAGGAAACCTAAAATCTAAAAGATCTCAAATTTTTAGCCAAATTCAATATGTCATAACCCTAGGAAAACAAAGTATTTAATGCATACAAATCAAAAGAAAATCCCTAAACAATCCCTACATTCAATTTCACTCCTAAAATTCCATCCAAAATCCTTCCAAAATCGGCTCCTAGGGCTTCGACTACGCGCGGCATCCGCAGCAGGCGGAAAACTCTGTTGTTCGCCCGTAAGCTGATCCCCCCTGGACCGGTCTAACAGCTTATTGTAGGATCTTGATCGGGCTCGTCTTCATTCCTCCCACCACCAATTTTAAGTTTATCATGATAAACCTTAAATTCTTGAACTTCAAACTCAATACCTAAAATTGTTGCTACTATACTATAACATATGTGATTGCTTTAACTAGCCATAATCGAAAGTTCTCACTAGTTATCATGAGGGGTAATTAACTACAAGGGCTTGCACCTAAAGAAAACCCAGAGCTCATATCATATTCCTCGCAAAATGAGGGTGAAATCTCTAGGTAATGTCTTATCTAAAACCCAATCTAGCTTCTGAAATTTTACCCGAAACCTAATCTCCCTAAAACTCTCCTTCATCAAATAAATAAGAAAAGAAACTGATGGCGCGAAGAGGCCGGGGACGCAACATGGAATTTTGGGAGCCCGCAATATATCACTCCTATATTTCATTATCACCCCCATACCAACCTATAAATTTTAATATTTCATTACATGCATTCATTTTTGTTCTAATAGGCATATAATACTAAAGTTTTAAGTGTTAGATATATAAATAGCATGAAATAAAGTGGTATGTATGTAAATCCCCCAATAGTTATCACAAAGACCATTGACTCTCCAAGATAGCATAAGCATCAATTTTGAAAGAGATTCTCCTCATAAAAAAATTAAAAACGTCTAAAAGCCTTGGAAACTTTTTATAATGCCGTGTTGACAATCATTCCTTCTTATAGAACCAATAGACGAATAAACAAAGATCAAACCCAAAAGGTGAGATCAAAGAAAAGAAAATAACATAGATATAAAATTTTGGGAGCAAGGGGAGAGACTGTGCCTCGAAGAACATTGTAAGCAAATTCCAGGGAAAAACTAAAACGGCAAGGGTCACTCATGCAGTCATGCTAAGGAATCTACTCAACCATTGTCATTGGCTCCGCTTCAGGAGCTGCGGTTACCTTCCCTGTTACCGCCATAACAATTTTTTTTTTTTTCAAAGCAGTCTTCTCTTGAAGGAGCCCAAAAGCAAAACCAACTGAGGTTCTAACGAGGCATGTGTAGAAGTGGTTAAAGAATTATATGAATTCCCTGAACCCAAGGAAATACTTTTTTTAGCCCAAGGAAATACTTAATTGAACCATAGAATATGGGACTGGATACTCTCCAATTACCTTGGTAACTACACTTGCTGTAGGCTTACCCAGCAACCCAAACGACTGTTGCATAACAAAGCAAATCCACCAACGGATTCTTCAAAAACTGCACACAGACAGAACAGTTGCAAGGTTATCAATAGGACGCAGTAAGCAATAAATCATGCTTAAGCTATCTGAGTTTTTCTTGGGAGTGAAGCATTACTAGGTAAGTCTTTTGGCCTCCATCAACTTGTGTCATCAATAGATTTACATACATAGCATTCAAAACAACCTAATTTTTATATCAATCAACAAACCTTACTACGTTCATAACAAACATTTCTTTTTTCTTTTTTTTTCCCTCTTTTGAGAACTTGAATACAAACATAAATGCCATATCTATGAGATGCTGCTCATAGTGAACTGCTAAACCAATCAATCATAACGAACAACAAGTGGTCATAGAGGCAAAGACTCGTATTCTTCTTTCCATCAGTAAGATCCATTTATTTATTCCTCACACCAACACACAGACAAGCAGCGGTTGCCCCACAATACGCATGGGCCTTCCAAGCTGCTCCGTGCCATTGCAAGAGAATAGAAAAGTAGCATCACGAAGCAATCCCACTCTTACATAGTGTGGGGGAAGATCTTCGTGAATTTCCAGAGACTTCCCAATCATTAAAATCAACCAATCAAGGTGTTGTTTGGATTCAAGTGGGATTTAGTAAATCCTTTTGTTGAGTCCTGGAATATTCAGAGCGATAGATATCTTAGGCCTATTATTCAGAATGATAATGAAATAGATGTGGATATTATTAGCAGAATTAAAGTTGGAAGGTTCCTCAAACTAAAGGGAAAATTCTATAAGATGGTGGTGAGACCAACAATGCTTTATGGTGCAAAATATTGGCCATTAAAAAGAAACATAATTTATGTTGCACGGATACTCCTATTTACTAGGCGTGCTGTATCGGACACGTGTCGGATACGAATACGCCTCCGATACGGCACGGATACGTGTCGGATACGGCTTTGCCATGTCCAATTAAAATATTATTTAAATTTGACTAGACATGCGTATCGGATATGCGTGTCCTATTAAAAAAAAACACATAGCCGCAATTTACCCTATTCTTTTCGGCTTTCCACCGTTTCCGCTCAATAGTCATATTCATTTATGCGGCTGAAACATTTCAAAGAGCTAGGTTTTTCGTTTCCACACAAGTGTTCATCTTCTTCGTGATAGTTGAAGGAGCGGCTCGATGACGCGAGCATAGAAGCAAGCAGGATCATCCTTTATCGACAAAGAGGCTTGAAGACGCGAGCATTAAAGTCAATAGGATCATCCTTCGTCGACGGAGCGGCTCGACAACGTGAACAGTGAAGGCGACGTGAGCAGTGAAGGTTCATTTTCTTCGTCGTTCTTCGTTTTCTTAATCATAGGCTTGGTATCGAAACTCGGTACTGCTTGGTACCGAACGGTACTGGAACTCAGTATTGCTCAGTCCTGCTCGATACCGAGCGGTACTGGAACTCGGTACCGCTTGGTATTGGAACTCGGTACTGCTCGGTACTGTAACTCGGTATTGTTCGGTACTACTCAGTACCGAGCGGTGTTGGAACTCAGTATTGCACGGTACCGCTCGGTATTGCTCGGTATTGTAACTTGGTATTGCTCGGTACCTCTCGGTATTGCTCGGTACCGCTCGGTATTGCTCGATATTGTAACTCGGTATTGCTCGGTACTGCTCGGTACCGCTTGGTATTGTAACTCGGTATTGCTCGGTACCGCTTGGTATTGCTCGGTACCGCTCGGTATTGCTCGGTATAGAGGGGTACCGAATGGTACCAAACGGCATCGAGAAGCTAAAACATGCTCAGTACCGCTCGATATCTTTCCATAAAAACAACTTATCGAGCCGCTCCTTCAAATATCATGCCAAAGTAAAAGAAATTATATATGGTCGAACCCCGCCAGGGGGCAGCGCCCTCTTAGACCCAATTTATGAGATGTTGAGAGTAGCTGATACAGATAAGTCTTGTTTACATCTCATTTATGAGATGTGGGATTCAATGCTAGCCAAAGTAAAAGAAATTATATATAGACATGAGAGGAAGGAAGTTCATGAGGACTCAAGCTTTTGAGATGTTATTTATGCTATTCTAGAAGATAGGTGGAGCAAAAGTAATACACCTTTACATTGCTTGGCTCACTCACTAAAGCCAAGATAAATTTCAACATTATTTCATTATGATTTCACAATTTGTTGTTTTGTAATTTCAACTTTTTTTTATTATTTCATTTTAATGTTATTTGAAGATATTCAACTATAGAATGACTTCAAAAGGATCCTCAAAGAGTTTCTCCAAAGAAAGATTTAAAAATTTCAAATATGAGGAAGACATGTTTAAAGTGTTATTTTCCAAATGATGAGGAGAGAAGAAGTGTCAATATTGAGCTTGCTAAATTTTTTTATTATTTAGAGGACTTTGGTGACCAAGAGTCATTGCGTGATAGGTGGAGAATTGATCCGAAAATGTGGTGGATTATACATGGAGCTTCAGCACCTCTACTTCAAACAATCGCCATAAAATTGCTTGGCCAAGTTTCATCCTCATCCTGTTGTGAAAGAAATTGGAGCACATACTCATTCATCCAATCAATGAAGAGAAATAAAATTACTCCACAACGGGCTGAAGATTTAGTTTACGTGTATACAAACCTTCGGCTTCTCTCAAGGAAAACTCCAACTTATATGGAAGGAGACAACAGGATGTGGGATGTTGCTGGAGATGGATTTGAATCTCTTGAGGATATGGGAATATTATAAATTGCTAATCTTTCACTTAATGAGCCTGAATTAGAAGCTAGGATATTTATTGAAGATGATATAGAAACTCAAAGACAAACCACTGAAGAAGCTAATCCTATCATTCCTTCTATTGAATAGTTCAAATTTCATGTGCTGGGCAATTTATCTTCTTGTTTTTGTTGTTGTACTAGACATTTCAATACTTAATACTTACTTTTATTTCAATTTTTTTGTCATTTCAAATATTACACTTTGATTACTTTCTTAATTTTTATGTATTATTTATATATTATAATGTCGTATCCACGCCGTATCTGTATCCTGTATTTTTAAGAATTGGCATGTCCCGTATCCGTATCGTGTCGTATCCGTATCGCCGTATCTGTATCGGTGCAACATAGAACATAATACTAAGTTGAATGTTGCAGAGATGACAATGCTCATGTGTATTAATGGCTTTACTCTTACATATAGGATACAAAATGAGCATATACATAAAAAGATTGAAGTACCTCCCATGAAAGATAGGATTAGAGAGAGTCGCCTTAGATGATTTGGTCACATAAAAAAACGGCCTTTGGATAACCTGGTTAGGAAATTAGATGTATTAAATTTGGCTTATGTTAAAAAATGTAGAGGTAAACCTAAAAAGACTAGTTAGAAAATATTAGAAATAAACTTTCTTTTTTAGATTTAAATGAAAATTTGATTTCTGATGACACAATGGAAAAAAAGGATACAAGTAGCCAATCCCATGTAGTGGGATAAAGGCTTCATGTTATTATTATTTTATATTAACATAATAATTAATTATTAATTTATAAAATATTAAATTTATGTATTTAACCCATTCTATGGGGTCAATTACATGAATCCTCTTTTAATATAATACTAAATAATAAATTTATTGAACATAAAAAAATTATTTAATCTAAGTACTAAGGGGCTGTTTGGTTAATATTAAGATAACCCGAGTTTCATCAGCTCCTTCAGCGATTAAGACAACCACTCAAGTAAAATTACACAGGTAACCAGTACCTGAACAAATAAAGGCATAAATTCCAGTACTTAATATTAAACACAAAAAACATTACAAAGTGAGTCGAATAAAATAGACTGGAGCATCAATAGCAATAGAAAAAAAAAACAACCAAAAAGTAATTGATATTATAATTTTTTTTAAATCATATAACTATTTTTTAAAACTACCGCACATTAATGATTTTGGTTAAAAAAAGCAATTTCCCAACACAAAAATTTCAAATAAGCATTGAAAAAATTATCCCAAAGGTCTTTAGACTCTCCAAGATAGCATAAACATCAATTTTGAAAGAGATTCACCTCCGATAAAAATTAAAAACCTCTAACAGCCTAGGGTACTTTTTATAATGCCGTGTTGACAACCATTCCCTCTTCCATAACCAATAGACAAAACAAACAATGATAAAACCCAAAAGATAGAGGTAAGCCTAAAAAAGATTTTGTTAGAAAGTATTATTAAAAATGATATTTTTGTTATATGTAAATAAATATTTGGATTCAAGTAGCATTTATTTAGATTCATGTAGCAGACACCACGTAATGGAATATAGGCTTGATATTGTTGTTATTGTAATAAATTTAGAGCAAGATAAAAAAATACCGCCATGAAGAGATTGAGAACAAATTTCACGGTAATTGAAATAGTGAAGGTCTTCAATGCACTATTTCTGCTTCCGGAGCTAGGGTTCCCTTGCCCATCAAAATGTTTTTCTTTTCAAAGCAGTCTTCTTTCAGAGAGAGAAGCATAACCTGCTCTGGCTCTTCTGCGGGGAAGAAGGGGTGGAGAAAGGTAAAAATGGAGTAAATTCCATCAACCCAAAACAAATCTTTTGGAGAATTAAGTGGTAAGAGAGTATAGTATAATTCAGAACATCATAATAGTCTTAGAAAACGCATGATGATTTTCCCTAAACAAATCCTTTGGAGAATTAAGTGGTAAGAGAGTATAGTATAATTCAGAACATCATAATACTCTTATAAAACGGATAATGATTCGCTGCACTTACCAAGTTAACTAAACTTGCTAAGCTTAACCCGTAAAAATGAACATAGGAGGCAAATCAATAGAGATTCAAAGACAAGAATTCACCTTTACTGTATAACAAAGCAGATCAAGAAACTAGTTATCCACAGCTACACACGGACACAGTCGTTGCCAGGTTATCAACAGATAAACAGGAGCAAGCGATTATACTTAAAAAATGAGTTTTCCGCGGGCAGTGAAGCATAGTAGTTTGGGGCTGTGATACAAGCATACAGGCCACTTGACTGCTAGCCAAAAAAAATCTAATTTGTAGTTAAATATATAAATATATATGAATTCAGTGGTATATATGCAAATGCAATAAAAACTGGATAGACTTCAGCTTAAGTAAAATTGTAAGAAATTGCACTTTATGGGATCCTTTCTTAGCTTTAGAACATGTTCAACAGAAAACTAGGGCAAGGAAGTGGGCTCAGATTCGCCTTTGTTCATCAACAAGCAAATCAACCCACCTATCTACCTTGGATGTAAGGGCCATCCACGTAAGGGCCATCCACGCAACTCCATCGCCAATGGATAAGAATAGAAGAGATCTCCGAAGCACCATAAAAAGGAATCCTGCTCAACAATAATGGGCAAAACAATCGTCTGCGATGGATCTCATCATCATTGCTCAATCCAGAGAGAGAGAGAGAGAGAGAGAGATTGTTGTAGTTGCAAAAAGAGACATTCTAATAAGTTAGATTAGTCATTACTCTTCCGGAATTGCAGCAAAGAAACCGAACCTTTTTTAGATTCATCCATGCCAACCTTAGATATCAATGGGTGGATATCGAGTGTCAGAAAGAGCTAGTAGTAAACCATATAGTAAATGTCGGGTTATGGAGAAAAAATGGGTAAGGTTAAGCAGATGGGTCCAAATGTCCAATAAAGCTATACTTTTTTTTTTTTTTTTGGGAAAACCCGGGGCATAAAGCTCATATATTAAAAATCAGAAAAAAACAATTACAAGTAACCTATGAGAAAATAAAAAAAAAACCGACTACAAAAGCAATCAAAATACACAAAGACTATAGCAGCAAACAAAAAGGGCAAAAGACAATCCGAAGACTCAGAATACAGGTGCAGTCTCATTCATCATATAATCTCTGTATGAAAGCCAATCTTCCAGGCAATGGCACCGGTTGCCTAAGAAACCGAAGGCAGCAAAATAGAAATTTCTAGCAAAACTGGCCGTCACAGCACCAAGAGCCTGAAAAACCTGAAAAACGATACCCACAAAATCGAGCCAGGTTGCCACGCAGGCCCTCCATAGCTCGAAGAGACTGCCCTTGATCATCATCGTCTGGATGCCTAACGACCACCACCAATTGCAACTATAGTCTTTGTAATAAACCCGGTAGTGAAGATAGAAGTGTTGCAACAGATTAGTGGAATGTGGTTTGATCTCACAGCTCCCACATTCCCAAAAATCAATCCCCCAGGTCTGAAAATAACAAGATGCCAAAAACTGTGCTAAAGTGAGCATCCTAGGAGCAAAAAGGTTCCCGGAATAACAAAAACTGGTAGCATCATCATGAAGTCTTATCTGACACATTCAGCAAAGCAAAAAAAAACAGAGCAAAAAACTAAATGCCCGGAAATCTGTGAATTAAAAACGCGTTGTTCTTCCATTTTGCAGTTTTGAGTCTCACCTCTGTAGAGATATTGCAAATTACTTTAACCACATTATGCCTTACATGTGAGAAACGGCGATTGTTCCTCTCCCTCCATATATTATAAATAATACAACTTATGGCTAAAAAACAAAAATCCTTTTCAGTCTTGTTAAAAGCTCCAGAATTTTCAAAAAATTCCAAAGTCTGAGAAAGTGTCGGCCTAAGTAAGAAACATTTAATTTCCGGCAAAAT